AAAAAAAAAAAAAAAAAAAAAAAAAAAAGGGGCTACATCCAATCTCAGGTCACGGATCTCAAGCGACTTCCGGAGTGTGGTTTTTCGAAACCTCTTCCAAGTTTAATCGGCTAGTAGTTACAAAGCCCAAGGTGTTGAAAATCAGTGAAACTATTCCATCGCTGGTAGTAACAGGAACTCAAGCTAAGTTGAGAGCTTTGTGTTCAATTAACTCTTCTACCAACCTAATCTAATCTACTAATGAGATTTACATAAAGTAATCTCTCACACAGAAATGAATGTTCTACATCTTCTGACCACCCATATGGCTAGCCTGCTGAACTGGCAAGACTGGCTCCGTAGTTGGTCAGCCCTCCGTTTAATCCCCTTACAAGCGACCAATCCATGCAAGCTTTGAATACATCTCGGAGTGTAAATGGCGATGTCCACAACAACAACGTTTGTATTCCATCAGATGCCTATGGAACGTCGACGGTCCGTGCTTGATGACGATTTTCTATGGTGCAACTTAAAGAAGGCGATCGAACCACGCCACGACTTGCTCGGGATGCTCCTGGAACCAGCTGTATGCATCCCAGCGGCGGTCGGTGCCTGTAATCCAGTACAAGCTCTTGTCTTCGACTGGCATGGCGTCGTACACGGACTGCACATCACTAGGCAGCGTGTTGAAGTCGTCGTGAACTTGGTAGACAAAGGTAGGGATTTGGACCAGGCTAGCACTTGGGACCAGCTCATAATCCTCAAAGCGGAAGTTAGTAGCGTTGTAGAGCGAGTCGTCGACAGCAGGCATGTAATCAAGTGAGATACCAAGAAGCTCCAAGACCCTAGACAGGCGGACTCTGACAGTCAGAGGCTGCGCAAACACCTGGGCCTTGACGCCCTCGAATGCCTCGGGGTGGAGTCTGTATGCGTGAAGGTTCGAGTTGGCGCCGACGCATTTGCTGAAGAGTCCAATCTTCATGTTCTTGGTGTCTTCGCGGCTGTGGACGTAGTTCAGCGCTGCCACCATGTCTTGCGACTCCAGCAAGCCCAAGGTATGAGCATATGTGGAATCGCTATCGCCGTGATTGCGGTACTCGTAAGCGAGGACGTTATATCCAGCGTTGTGCAGGATCTCGTAGTCGGGGATGAAGTTGACCGCCCAGTAGCTTCCAGGCGCACGAGCCTCCTCCTCTGTATACCCGCGGATTCCACCTCGGTTGAACCACCGAGGATGGTTGGCGATGATGATTTTATCGGAGCCCTCCTTGGGGAAGAACCAGGCGGCAGATGTCACTCCGTCCTCCGAGGTGAAGGTCACATTCTCATATTGAAGGCCAACTTCTTCCGGCCTGTGAAGGGGGTGGTCAAAATTCTGAGTTCCAAGGAACCCGTCACCAACGCCGTTGATGATGGTTTGAATGACGGCCTCAGGAGGCGGGGTCGCTGGAGGAACAGGAGGGTAGGTTCCGGTCTCTTGGTCGCGGGGTGTTCCTGTTTCCTGACCACTGACGACAGCCAGCGGTATAAGGAATAACGAGGAGTAAAGGGATTGGGAGAACCGCATTTTTGGTTCCTTAAGGGTCTTCGGGTGTGTAAATGGAGATATTTGGGGATGCAATTGCTGTGAGTGATGTTCAAAGTGATGGATGATGGGATAGGTAGTCCCCGTAGGTCTTTCAAGCCTTTATTTATACATAGAGCAAAGCCATGATGTGTTTCACTTCAGTAGAACCGTCATCACTGCACCTTGCCGGCTGACGTGGCCTGGTGTATCTACAGACCTATGCGTTCATCTCTTTGACGGATTCGATGTCGTGACATACCTTATTTTACCGCTGACTTTTCCTCTCTTCCTAGCTAGGTGGCCACTCCTACCCCAGCCCACCGGGCTGTGCATCTGAGCATCGTAACCCTGGTTGGTTTGGTCTCGTTCATGGACCAATGGCTACCTGCTAGTACAAGATATGAACATGGTCTTAGCTTTTACAGGTTTTAGTGGTGGTCGGTTAGTTTTAGGTTTGCATGAAGACGTCTTTGCTTATTTTGAGGAGCACAAACAAGATTCTCTTCTAGTCTCTAAATATGACAATATGTTAACTTCTAGGGCGCTGTCTCTCGCTATTCGCTAAATCACAGAGAGATTAGGCTTGGTCAAGAGCCGAGGAAATTTTTATTTTCTTTTTAAACAAAAATTGACAGAACAATGCATCATGCTAAGGTATGATGAGTAGCCAAGCCACATCGAAGCTTGTTTCCTCGTACGACCCTAGCTGCCGTAAAGATAAACTTAAGAGTCGGCATATCGACTAGGGTTAATCTGACTTTCCGTTCTGGTGCGAGACTCAGAGAGTGGCCCTTCTCCAGACGTTCATATACAACAGCATTATTGGGATGAGAGCGGACATAATTGCTCGATGTGTAATCCTGTTTCAAGCGAATGGCCCACCTTTTACTTGTTGTGGCAACAGATAATCCCGCGAGGTTTTAAAGTCCGAAGCGCCATCCCATCTCAAGGCAGACGTGCGAACCCTGCTCCTATCAGGGTTCCCATGACAAACCTAATTAGGCTTTGGACCATTGGTAATCCCTTTTTAAGCTAATAGCGCATCTTTTACTTAGAGTAGCAACAGATAACCCCGCTGGGTTTTAAAGTCCGAGGCTCATCCTAGCCGTTAGCACACAGAGGAACACCTGCTTCAATGACATTTCAGACTCTGATCCAGGTATTGTATACTACGAGCCATATTCTGGGGGAGAATCAACTCCCAGCTTTAGAGATACTGTTTTTTCGCGGACGATGTATGAAATATGTCCTTTGAGGGCAATAGTAGGTAATTCGCCATTTGTACCAGTTACATGTAATCAAGGTTGAAGAAGCATAGATAACTTCCCAATACCACAACATCATTCTTTACTAGGTTGGAAAATGGCATGTAGAGCTTCATGCCATCCTGATGTAGAAGAAAAGCCGGAGTAATACGAAGCAAAAGATGTGGTGCGATTCTTGTTTCTCAAACCAGTCTTTATGTTTCTTCTCTCAATCAAGCCACTAGCAAGTCTGCTGTTCCCGAGCTATCTTAGAAATTGATTTATGCTTCCTGCCCAATTAAGCCTTCTAGAAGATCCTGAGAAGCTTGTGAGCTAATAGAACGCGTTTCATTCACTGGCGTTCGCCCCTTCAACATCGTCAAAAGCAGCTTCGGAAATTCAATTTCCATAAGGTCTAGGGTATTTGAACCTTTGGGCACATAAATGAGCCTCGGCGTCTTGGTGCAAAGACCGACAGGCGTATAGATGAAAACTATTATCTCGACAAGGTAGGCTGATGCTGACCTAGGAAAACGAATTCAGTTATAAAATTAGGGTATGAAGACGGCGAGAAACCTTGGCCGAATTGCTTGAATGGTAGTCTGTATGCCTGTCTTGTCCTGATTCTGTTCAACGAATCGGGTTATAGGGGGTCATACATGGCTCAATAGGCCTTCTTTACAGACTCATATGCGATTTAGGTGTTGGTGTGCATCGATGTGCATCGAGCTACTTCTTGAAATGAAGCACAAGGTTTCCACCAACTCACGCCAAGCTTTGAGATATCAACATCATTCAGAAGCTAAAACCAAATGATTATATCTTTCTATCTGTTCACCTGTATTCTGGAGCGAAAAGGATAACCGGTGAGAATAAGGAGCAAAACGAAAAATAAGATCTAGGAGAAAAGGGGCCAGAATGAGCCGCTGGTGAACTTGCTTCACCTGCTTCATTTGAACTTCATGCTTTCGAAACATGGCCCTATATACGCAGTGTCCTTTTGTCCCTTTGACGTGAAATTATATGCAGATGATTACAAAAGCCTATCTCGGCGGTCACCAGCGTCCTCCGAGGCATCTGAACCGGTTATCGACGAGAACCAGGGGCTCTAATGAACAGCCTACCATCATGCGAAGAGCGTATAGCGTATAGCTCCACAAGGGTAGGGAACATCTCGGTGAACTAGTCTAACCGGAGCAATGCTAATCTCACGTAAGACCCGCTAACCACAGCGGTAGTTGAGGCCAGGATAAGGACGCCAATACATTCCCTTAACTAATGCGTTTATTCCCCTTAACACTATTCCAAGAGACTATCGTGTTGATATGTGAATTGAGTTGCTTTTGAATTTCTTGATACATCGGTTACATCTGTGAGAATCATGGCTAGTGATCATGTATTCCCAGCTACGACGACGAGGGACTCATATAATGGATTCCTCATTCTGGCCTGCCTTGGCCTGTTCAGCCAGTGGGCCATCATGATCATGAACGGCTCCTTACGCCTCATGCTTCTAACCGCCTGGACAAGTATTTTCCCCGACGGTATACCTCTCAGAGAAGAATGGACGCGAATGTGGATAGTGGACGTAGCGCTTCGCGTGCTCGTGGCTTTCTTCGGAGCCATTCTCAACGTGGTTGAGTCCCACGAGTTCGGGCCTTATCTGTGTTTAGTTGATCTAATCACCACTATTGTTGTCTTCGGCATGATGTTCTTGGTAGAGGATCGGCGTGATAGGGGGAAGGGTGCGCTGCGATAGTGAGAGCTTCGTTTTCTTACGTATTATCTCGGGTACACATTGTTACTAACGTTCCATTTTTCGAAATTTCTAGTCCCACGTGTTGGCAGCTTTTGCTTTATTTCTTCGGTGCTGCCTCAATCGTACCCATATACATGCGGCTGTATCTCAAAGACCGACTCTCGCTACGTCTCCAGGTACCGCATAACCAGGCACGAGCCTTGCCATTCACCGCACTGTGGTGTTCAGTACTCTCCCTTCCCCTTCTTCTTCCTGTCGCCCTCGGAGCCAACCTATCCCAGATTCAGGTTGGCATCGTAGTCTGGCTGTTCAGTCCAGCGACGGTTGGACCTTTCCAGGACCTATTGAGCACCCTAATGTCGAAGAGCAATGATGTTCGCTCGTCGACAAAGGAAGCAGCTCAGTCCATTGCTATCGCTTACGGTATCTTGGGGGTATTCAGTGCAATAGTTCACGTCTCTGTTGTCGTGTTTACCTTCGTGTCTTCCAATCTTGGGTGGAGTGACATCTACTGGCCGATCCACGGAGTACGGAGCGGCCCAAGTCTCATGACCGATGGTGCACTCATATTCATACAATCTGGTTATTTCTCTCTATCAATATGTGTGCTCGCTCTGGGTTATTTTTTATTGAAGACCGAGAACCTGCCCGCCACCCATTCGCTACTTGGCAGTTCACACGGCTGGAAAGCCTTGTTGGTGCATACAGTACTAATAGCTGTTTTCGGCCCTGGAGCCGCGTTGGCTTTGTTGCTCGGCAGCAAGGAAATAACAACAGCTTCTACAATTGCGCTCAGAAAAGGGAACTAATTAGTCAGTTCCCTCTCGTGGCGTTGGACCTCTTCTCCGAGGGCTGCAGACGAGGCTGTTAAAGGGATATTTTATCGTGGGCAAATGAATTTGACGAGGCATGCAGTATCATAGCGAGAGCGGCCTTATGGAATGGTGCTTCAAATGGGGAAGAAATCTCCCGTTCACTAAATACATTAAATTACGCTTACGGTGGTGCTGAAGAGCGAGCTTGAGATGATGTCGTTCACATTCAATTGTTTTGTTTAAAGCGCTACTTAAGTGTAATAGAACAACAACTTCGCAGATAACTACGAAAAAACTGCAACTACTCACCCCACCTCATGCGCGTTGAAATTATCCACGCAGATGTTGATGCTTGGGTGAATTTTCTGTGCTTTTCTTATGGTGCCTCGTCCATTCCTCATCCTAAGCAGCCAACCACAGCCATGGAGTTACTTACTTGATCCTCTAATGATCCCCTATACTTTTTACGTCTCTCTCAGCTGATAGAGGACTGCCGGAGTATTCCATGCCGTGATCAAAAATTCAAAATATGAGGAAAGCGCTTGTGCAAGTCAAATAGCAACACGATGTAATATGGGACAATGTACGGAGTATGATTACACGACTTAGAATACTAATGCAGGGGTCTTACATACAGTCTCCGGCGGCGGAGAGGCAAACCCGAGAATGGTGACTCGACCAGATACACCCCCGAGCATCACTGTGTTCAGGTGCACAGCTGAGCACCGTGGTTGATACTGAGCTGGGAGTCGAAGTAATCTGTTCCCATTCCAGGTGATCCAGGTCCGGTCGTAGCTAATACCGTAGCCGCAGAAGCTGGATAACACCCGGGCGTTGTTCAACTGCGTAGGAAGAAAATTGGACAGGGCGATTACCCCATGGCTGGTTTCAAGCCCTAAATCATCCAGTGTGAAACGAACCCAGTCGTTGTCTTCGAACGCTGAAACTACGTATGAGTACGGAGCGGGCCTCAACTCAATACTATACAGGCGTTGGCTTGTCTCCATGCACCATACTTGAATTTCGTCGTAGCCTAGTAACCCATGCCGTAAGTGCATTGCAATGAACTTGGAGTCGTTCGAAATTGAGCAGGCCCTATTACCTGCTTGGTGATTTATCTCAAATATGCATTTACCAGAGCCGCAGTGCCACACCTTCATCGTGCGTTGGCTCGACGCAAGGAGCGTCGAGTCCGGCGAAAACTTCGTTCGCGAGCACCCGTTCAGCGTCTCGTATTGCATATTTTGCATATTCTGCCAATTTTGCGTACGGCACCAATGGCTGGTGTTCCAGAGGCTGATATCATGAGCGGTGGATGTGGCGACGAGTCGTCCGTTGGGAGAGAAGACTGCAGCCATATCACCGGATCCAGCTGCGAGAACTTTCACACATTGCCCTGTTTCGGCGAGCCATATAACAATTTTTGATTCGATATTTTCATCGTTGTTCCGCCACGTGGCAATCAACACCAAGGTTGAATCGGGAGAAAATTCGGCATATTTAATTCGGTCAATATCCACGTCGAGCGTTTGCACAGGGGCGCCCGTATCAAGCCGCAATATTCGAGGAGGTGGAGACAGCTTGACCAAATACCGTACTAAGGCAAACCGCCAGTCCTTTGATAGAGCTACAAAAGCCGATGTGAAAGCCCTTTTGCACTCGCCAGTCATCGCATCCCAAATGCTCAAGCTTGTGTCGTTTGAGGTCGCAATGAGAGCTGAGTCAGGTGAAAAGGCCGCACATGATGCCTCACCAAGATGCTCAGTCTGGTCGGATATCTGATGGTCATGTGAAGTATGAATTCTCCAAATTCGTACAGTACCGTCATCTGATGACGAGCCTAGCAGAGTCGAGTCTTGGGAAAAGGCAATATGGCGGATTCTACTTCCGTGTCCTGTGAGTACCTGTACGCATTTCTCAGCACCGAAATTCCAGATCCAAATGTCATTGCCATTGCTTGCAGCGAGCAGCACAGAGTCGTGCGGAAATACAACTGAGTCGATCAACTTTGTGTGTTTTAGCTCCCTCACGCACTCTCCGTTATTGGTCCGGACTATCTTGACTTTTGTATGAGGGTAACCAGAATAAGCGAAAAAGGCTGAGTCTTGAGAGAAATTAAGAGCGAATACGTAATAGCTCTCACCAACCATACGACAGATTCCGGGTAGTTTGGCGTTAGGCGAGAAGGCTGCCGCCCGCGCTGTATCGTTTTCGAGGTCGAAGTCCCGAATAAATTCATAAATTCCTGTTTTTAATATCTTGGCAATGTCGACTTTCACTTGGTGATGTGAAGAAACCCGGTGATGCCAAGAATGTTGAGATAGAGGAACCAAAACCATGGATTACCCCCTCGGTATGATCTTTGGTAAATCTTATGCACTCTCCCGTTCTGACACTCCAGACGCGGAATGAGCCATTACTTAAAGCCGATAACACACGAGTAGAGTCATCCGAAAAGATGGCCATGGTGACATCAGAACGATCGTGGCACTCCAGTATCCATATACATCGGCCTGTGTCCACGTCCCATATCCTAACAGCGTGCCTGGAATTATCGAGTGATACCACCAGTTTGGAATCGTGAGAAAATGATATGAAACATGCATCACACTCAAGGGTATGCAGACTTTGACCCCAATCGACGTTCACTCTGGGTTGAAGGACAATCCAATCAGGTATCACCTTCTCGTAGACTTTCCGGAGGTGGCTATTCATGGGTGCGAAGACAAGCAAGGATGAGTACAACTGAATTGGTGTAGCATCGATGACTGATGCATTGGCAAGAACAAAGGATAGGGAGTCATCGAGAAGAAGAGAAAGTTCTTTGCCATCTCGTGGCTTTAAATGCAGAAACATCACATGTCAGTTCGGGACCTAAGCCAGAGAAGTTGATGAGACATGCACTTACATCAATCAGCATTTGCAGTGCCTTCACATGACCGATACACCCGTAGGCATCCCCCAAAAAACCAAGGCATTCCAGCCAATGCATGAAATGGGTTTGAAAGAATTTGTGAACCAAGCCACCATCATCCAGCATATCCCCTGCATGCTGAATGTGGCGCACCCAGTAACAGCACGAATATTGAACCTCAGGATGAAGGGAAGCATTTATTGTCTCAACTTTGATCGATGAGCGCTCTGTCCCCCAACTCGGGAGGTTGCACATGTTCTGTCTGAGCTCCCTATCCAGAAATGCCAAGGCTCTTGATGCTATATCAGCGTGAGTTACTTTCTCGTCAATCCAGAAATCAGTTGCTTCTTTGTTCTTCATATCGGTCAAGAAATTCTTGAAGGATAGATGTAGCATTCTGACTGGCAAATCAGACGAAGTTGGAATACTAAGGACCGAGTGGAGCATCATGAGATGATCGTCAATCTGATATCTTGGAACTTGAAGGAGTCGACTGAGCGATTCCGTAGACAATGGCGTTTCCAGCATGATGATAGGGCCTACAATAGACTTAAACCTCTGTATGACTTTGCTTCTATCATCCGCATCCATTCCAACCAACAATCTGTTCAGGATGGGGAGGTATGTAGAGTCGAGCCGGGACTTGGTTTTCGTTTGTCCGTATGCAAGAACGTCCTGGATCTGATCATCGGGGTTTCCAAACTTGACATCCGCGATAAAGCGACACATAGTAGTAGCGAAGATGAAAAGAGGCACAGTCGGACGGCAGGCGGCGATAATCAGAACCGACTGTGCAATTCCACTCTGTCCTAATCATGTCCAGCCGATAGTCTAGAAAGACAGAGATGTCATGCTCAATCACGGGCTCAGGCAGTTCATGAAGAGTCACTGGATGGTAGGATCCGGCTGTTGCTTTCCCAAATGCCCGGCGATTAGGTATTTCAAGCCGGCTTGTGATGAAAATCTTCCACTGTGACAATTTCATGACGCTAGAATCCGTAAACAAGTCGATGAGCAAATCAATGTCTTCATATCGCTCACACTCATCGAGAGCGTCGACAATCAAAACGATCGGATGGTCAGGTCGGTGTTTTTGTGCCTTCATGAGCGGCTCCATGACAAGATTTTTAAGTTACTGTCCCGGGGCCCTTCTGCGAAAATCAGCATCCTTGTCCAAGGCCTCCTTAACAGCTGTACCAAACTCTGGGATTTTGATGACCATATCAGCGGCAATAGTAGAGAAGAATCTTGACAAGGTGCTGCGTTCAGCCTCGCCAGTCTTGAAGAAGAAGCTTGCCCCGAGCATCTTGTTTGCAAGTTTCACTCACGTTTGGTCTACCTGCAAAGCAGAATTTATATTCTGGCCACAGTTTCGCAGATCTCCAATTATCACTTTGATTTCGCTCTTCTTAAACGGCCATTTGAGAGCTCGTAGTCCAAGTCTACTCATTGTCTTCTGGCCTTTTTTGAGAGCCATCTTTTCGTCTACTGTCCTAAGTAGATCCAGAGCGTCTCCAATCGCGGTCTGGAGCGGGTGGGATGTTGCTAATCTGTCGCCATTTGGACCGCTAAGAAGGCCCTGGACACTCTTCGCGATGCCGGTCAGAGCGATTATTTCTTTCTGCACTCTGTCAATGTCGGCTTTGGCGCTATAGACCTTCTTGGCGTAATCATAGCACTGCGCGGCTATCTTGGCCGTTATGTCGACAACAGCGACGAGATTAGCCGCTACGCCAATTCCTTCCATTTCTTCGGTGAATGTTTTGGCTGGAACAAGTTTTCAAGTCAAGTGAGAAGATTGGTGAGGATGAGAGGGGTGAGGGGAATCATGCCCAATCCTCCAATGTCGGCAGGAATCCGACATGGTCAAGACACTGTGTGGTTCTCACTGTGTACGAAGCATTTGCAGGGTTTTGACGTGGCTTCTGGGGAGTGATTTGGTATGATTTACGGCATTTTCGTCAATATTAAGGGGCTGTAACACGAAGAGCTGCAACGTTGATTGGGGGCAGAGACAAGCTGATGACACTGTGGGTGCATGGTGGTGCAGCATGAATGCCCAATCATACCCTATTTTCTGCCTTGCGAACGCAGACTCTCTGCACGCCTCAAAGCAATTGTTGGTCGTTGGTCGGAGGCGCTGAGATGTTGCGTGGACCCCCCACCAAGATAATGAGCAGACGACCTCTAAGAGCAAGAGGTAGACAAACCTAACAATATTCCAGTCAAAACGATCAATTTACACGCAGTCGTCGCTAAATACTACCGAACGACCATTGTCTTTGTGCCGGTAGTGGTAATCTAACTAGCATGAACTGACTTCTCTAAAGCTAGATATTGTTTCTTTGGCTTTCCCATCTCCTCGAGTCCAGATCACGCCGTTATCAGTGTTATCAGTGTTAGAAATGGACAGCCTACTCCAGATGAAACGGACGTCCTCTTGCCCCGGGCCCGGGGAGATCTTCTGTTCGGCTAGGCGCCAGCACATCGGCCAGAAATATCACGTTTGGAAATAAGCTAGAGAAATTCGGCCAGAAGCTTATGTATGCATCCCGTGTATTGTCAACCGTCATCCATCTTTCTATATTATAGAGAGCCAAGGGGGCAGTAATCTACAGTGCACATGGCGATATCTATTCCACCAACCTAGTGCCCAGCAGGCCAGTTCCGGTTGAATGGAACCAGGGCCCCATTCATCGTTTTAGCAATAGAACGGTCTGATAAAAAGAGACATAACTTGGCAACGTCCTCCAGCGGAACATCATTGATCCCATAGTTGAAGCCCGGCATATGCTTCTCGATCAATCCCAAACCTTCCATATCAACCCCTTCGACCAGTGAATCCTGTATGTTTGTTGCTGCTAAACCTCCCAATTGCAGCATGGTGCAAGTGATGTTTTTCTCCAGGTAGAAGGCTGCGGTGTTACGGGTGAGGGCGAGAACCCCATGCTTCGATACCAAATATGCCAATCCACCGTCGATGCCACAGACAGAAGCATTTGAGCCCATGTTGATAATGGATCCTCCTGGTGGAGATTGAACAAGCATTGTATTAACAGCAGCTTTCGTGCAAACGAATGCTCCAGTGAGGTTGACTCGCAAGATTCGATCCCACATCTCTTGCGAGCAAGTCCCGGCTGGATGAAATTTGTCGAGAACAGCGGCGTTGTTGACGAGAACGTCGAGACGCCCGAAACGCTTCACAATATCCTCGACGAGGGAATCTATCTCGAGCTGGGAGGCAACATCGGCCTTTTTGATGATGAACCTTCCGGGGTAACTCTCGGTCCAGAGTTTTGACGTCGCATCAAGACGCTCTTCATGCACATCACAGATGGTGACATTGTGGCCCTTATCAAGATATGCGGTGGCGATGGTTTTGCCCAATCCACCGGCAGCCCCAGTGACTAGGATTGAGAGAGGGTGAGATGAATTTGACATGATGTAGGAACGAATTGGCGTTTGATACAGGAGGGCTTTGAATAGAGATGAGTGGCGTGGAGATGCCGAGACAATTCACAAGCAGGGCAGCCAACTTTATACCTATTCGGCTTTCAAAATAGAACCCATTACTAGCAGTAGCTAGAAATGTAGTCTACTACCAGACGTCTCTGCCACCTTTGGGTGGCTTGCTCTCTTTCCGAGCCGGTCAACGTGGAAAACACCCGAAAGAAAATCTACGAATACGACCAGGAAACCGCACTAGTGACGCACATCTCGTCTGTCGTCTAGAAAAGTGGCTTCCATCCCCACATTATCCCTTCCCCGGGCTGCCTTGGTTGGACCTCCGATGAGATGAAGGGCTTCATTAGCCAATTATTGGCCCTGAGAATCCCGAGGTTTCATCTTAATCCCTATTTTGTTAGTTTATTGTCCGGTGATTTGAGACATCGGCTGTTTATGGTTGGACGATGGCCTGGAAAGCTGATGGGTCAGGTAGTCTAGACTCCGCGGCATGTAGTACATAGACTCAAGAAGTAGGGCAGTATATTAGCCAGTTAGGTGAGAAGACCGAGAAATGGGCCATTGTTAGGGCTCAATATTACTAAACATAATTGAAATCCTTCCAGCCCCAATCCAGTTTGAGAAGTTGGCTGTTGGTAGCCGAAAGTCCTCTCCAGCTCGCGTATCACGAACATCGGTCCCACACGCCCTCCCCCATTTGAGGACGGCTCCGTCATTTTCCTTCTTATTCAAGCATTCCCCAAATATTATTCAAACTCTCTGCAAGAGAAGGATGTGCCCAAACGGCATCTCGGAGCGCCGTCCACTTGGTGCCTGCTATCATAGCCATCTGCACCACACTCATGATCTCGCCGCCCTCCAACCCCAAGCACGTGAAGCCCAAGATCTTTTCAGAGTCAGCGTCGATGATGGCCTTCATCATTCCTCTAGATTCGTCAGTCTCTAAAGCTCTTGCTACGTAGGCCATCGGCATCCTGGCTACTTGGATCTTCGCCTTCGGATACTTCTCCCTCGCCTCTTTCTCATGTAGACCAACATGAGCAAGCTGCGGGTCGGTATAGACGACATATGGAAGAATTCGGTCCACGGTTGTCATGGTAGTGGAGTGGGAGTCTTTTTCGAGCAAGTTTCCTTGCAACAGTCGGAAATCATCGTAGGAGACGTGTGTGAACGCCGGTGGGCCTTTGACATCGCCGAGAGCCCAGACACGTGGGTTGGAGGTCTGCAACGTTTCATCGACCACAATGTGGCCGCGACTAGTAGTCTTTATCCCAGCGGCACCAAGATTCAGGGCATTAGTATTAGGAACTCGGCCAGCGGCAAACAGGATATGGGACCCAGTGAATTGAGGTGTACCCTCTGGCCCTGAAGCAGTCGCTGAAATAGCCTTAGCAGGATCACTGCTACCAGTGGCACTAACTTCCGTGAGGGATGTTTTGAGAAGCACTGAAATGCCATCCTCTTTGAGAATCTTGAGCATCTCATCGGCCACTTCTTTGTCCTCCCGAGGGAGGAGTTGAGAGTTTCGTTGTATGATGGTCACATCGGCACCTAGGCGCCGGAAGAGCTGGCCGAATTCGAGACCAATGTAGCCTCCCCCAACCACAATGAGATGCGAGGGGACAACCCCAAGCTCCTGGATAGAAGTAGAATCAAGGACAGTGCCAGCTGGAAAGCCTTTCTCGTTGAAGCCCTCGATATTGGGGGGAGCTGGCCGCTCTCCCGTGCAAATAAAGATCTTGTCGGCAGTGATCGTCTTATCATCGCCGTTTTTGCCGGCAACTTTAATCGTGCTCTCATTCTCAAAGCTTGCGGAACCCGAGATGACGTTAACGCCACCGTCACGGAGCCTGCGTTCGCTCCCAGACCGGAAAGAGTCGACAATATCGCGCTTCCGCTGCCTCACCTTTTCCATATTGACACGTACTTCCTCGGGCTTCGAGCTGGTGACGCCGTACTCTGGACCTCTCCGTGTCAAATAGGCGACCCGCCCAGAGGCAATCATAGTTTTGGTTGGCGTACAGCCTTCGTTGACACAGCAGCCACCGACGTGAGTGCTCTCGATCAGTGCAGTCTTCTTTTTCGCTTTGGCGAATGCCATACTAAGCGGCGTCCCGCCTTGGCCAGAGCCGATAATGACAGCATCATAATGCACAGACATAGCAAGTCGTAGGCTTGTAAATGCCGGTTTATGGGTTGCGCGGGTGGACAGCAACAGTATTGATCGTTGGAGGGGCGTAGGTCGAAGGACAGCTATCATCGGTAGATTACAATACCACCAATGATCACCTATTCAGAAGAATTTCAAATCAAAGATGCAGAAATCAGCTTTGTAATGGGCCAGCGTTTAATATACGAGCAGCATGCTGCGGGGAAGCTGACTGGCAGTACGTCAGAACATTGGCCTTAAAGTTTGAACGAATCAACTCACCCAATTGGTGTAGTCAGAATTCCGAGTAGATGGACCCGTATCTGTAATGCGTAGTAATGCCTTACTAACTGAACTATCATCACATGAAAGATGTTCTAGCAAGTGGTGCAACTCAAAGTACGGTTCGATATCCTCACACCCTCCCAATTCAGCTAAACCTAATCTTCTTTGAATTGATATAACGAGAGTTATGAATGCAGCGCCATCTTATTCCGTCCCTACAGCTGCGTATTCCGTCCCTACAGCTGCGAATTCAAAATATCTGCCAGTTTTGACCATGTCGCAGCAGGATACTCTCCCGTCACCCACATATTCCCTGCATGATCCCTTCCATTAATAATAAGAAGGCAGGTTGAAAAGAATCCTTTCGATGTCTCAATGTTACGTGAATGATAATAGACGGGACGGCCTGGCTTCCAAGTGACGTCGTATTGCTTCAATGCAGTTCCGGCCTTCACAACGGCTTGGCTGAAGTCAACCGTTTGCACCAGCTTGGCCGAGCCCCAATTTGAAGACGTTGCAAGTAGACCGTTGTAGTCTCCAAACATGGGGAGTCGACCGGTTTCTTTCATTGCTGTCGCTATTTCGCTGGCTGTGACTTTCAGTGCTTCTTCGGTAGTTTGGGCCCCGATAGCTGCACGCATTTTCACCGCCAGTTCTCCGATCTTCATCTCCAAGGCCTCTGCCACCGGACAACTGACAACAACGCCGGATGGAGCATTCTGCACGTATGCTCCGTTGGCTTTGAATATCGATTTCGCTCGGCCTCGTGGATCCACTGCGACTATGAGATTAATCGGTCGAGTTGAACCTGCTGGGAGAGTATGTGCGGCCAGACGCACACTCAGTGCCAAGAGAATGTCGCCCTCTGATATAAATGATACCCCATTCTCATCTGAAAGTTTTCCTTTGGCCTCATTTCTCGCATTCTCAACGAGCGCATCCATGATCGTCTTGGGAATGCACATTATCTGGGAATCATACTTTGTCCACCAGGAATCCCACATGAGCCAGAGGGTCCAACTCAACATCTTCCAGCCCGTAAGCCTCATATGATCAAGTGCATGTTTCCCTTGAGTTGCCGATTTGTAAAGCGGGGCCATGCCGTCCTCCACACTCATGAAGTCGGCCTTCTCCTCAGGCTTCCCAGCCAAGTGGCATTGCCAAGCATCAAGAACAGCTTTCAACCCGCTCAAGTCAGATACAATGTGGTTGAAATTGATGGAGACGAGCGTCCCATCCTCAAAGGTCACGACATGGAGGGCGAATTGGGGAAGATCGGAGTACAAATAATCATCTAGCTTCCTTGGGGCTCCAGGTCCGACGCCGAGGGACGTGTAAGATCGGGGGCTTGGGAACAAGGTAGGACCTGAGCCAGCGGCGGGGAGCTTTGATGCCTCCGGATGCTCAGACATGCGCACATTGAAGTGTCCTTTGGTGAAGTAAATGGGCGGTCGCTCTGCGGTGAACGGCCGCGGGATGTGCACCTCGATTTTGCCGTCGGGCTGACATTTGGTATAGCGGTCAGCTTCGCGCCACGAATCGAACATGTCTCACCATTTTAAGAACTGTCACAAACCTTTAGGCGGAGCCTTCCTCCTAGCTTTCTCCAACCTTCGCACTGGAAAAGCTCTGACAGGGAATTACCGAGAATGTCTGCATCAAGCACGTCGTCGAACCGTAGAGTCCACATCAAGGTATGGCTACGCAGGTAAAACACGTCGTCAAACAAGTGCAATGGGAGCACCTCATCGGTTGGGACTCGCTCTGGAAGCGGTCTCTCCTGGGCAAGCCCAAGCAGTCTGGCGATGTACGACATATTGCGTCAGAGGCGCGCCTTGACGCAGATGGAAAGTTCAAGGATGCTCCGGGACACCTCTTTGATGGAATGCAGTTTTTTTTGGTATCAAACCGCGCGTTCCGGACTTCACGGAGAGGGAAAATAGGGGAAGCAGGGAGCTAGAATTCGGGCTAAGAAGGCCTGTAACGACGCTATATTCTGACAGCCAGGCATGTCATCCTCCGAGCAATTTATTAGTCTTCGTTCGGCATATCCCAGTACGTCATCAATTGGCACAACAATGCTGCATTTGGCGTTTCGTTGGCTTAATATCTTCAATCTGTCCCGCCTCATGTGCAGTAATATGACCTTCCCCTAGTTCCCGTTTCCAATAAAGGCTTGTTGGACAGAAAGACCAACAAACAACCGTGAGGATGAATGAAAGGATGTGCTAGTTGGTCAAACAGGGGTGCTTCAAGCCCTGACTTCTTATCACCAAAGGCAAGCTCAAAAACTCAAAAACTTCAGATATAAGATATCTATGTATAATGAAGATATCATGTTCTAGCTAGGCTCAATTTCGCTTGTCCATAAATGAGTGTAGCATGTTACCAAAAGACCACATCTTTCTCTTCTCTAGTAGCATCTTTACGCTCAAATTCATGGAGCTGAACAAGCCCAGAGACTTCATTTGAAGCCCTGTCATTGAGCATTGATTGTATATCATAGAGCATGGCACCAATCGTCTTCCTCGTCTCAATGTCTCTAAGAGGTCTATCCTACCGATCATCAAGAAGATGAACCCTGGCTGCCCATTGAAGAAGCAGGACCTTTTCGAGTTCTAGTTTCTCCCAGGTCAGCCTAAACGGCGGCGAGGCATCCTGGGGGAGAAATAGTTCAGGGAAACTCTGGATACAGCCTTGAAAGCGGCTGACGAGCCCAGGAAGGAAGCTTGAGACAACTTCTGGTGACTGCAAGGGATCATATTTTCTTCCATCATCTTGTTTGTTCTCGCATTGTTTCCCTCTCCATTTAAGTGACTCTGAACCAAATGTATTGGTGCGAACCTGTGGGTGGGCGTCTGTCGAGTTTGGGATTATGCTGAGAAGTTCTCTGGCATATGATGCAACGACTGCAGAGGCATATGACTGCCACGTCTTGTTCTTGTGTGAGTCGGCGTAGTCACAGATTCCACGTATGACCAAACAAGGCAATTGGCCCATCAATCCTGCAGCCCCCATTTCGAAACATGCCATGCTTATTTCATCTCTGAGGCGATCTCTCGTCATTGCGTGCCGCATTACCTGATTTCCCGAGGCTATCAATCGGTAATGAACTACCGTATCAGTGAATTGACGAGGTGTACAGGGCAGTATCCGGGCAGAGTCACAATGTGAACCTGTCGCCTCACGCTGAGGATGATCATACTGCGATTCGTAAAGCACATATTTCTCAACACCAGGATGTGCATATTCCATTTTCATGAGTGGATGATCGTCATACATTTGTTGGAGGTAGCCCGAGAGCGCAGACTCGCCCCGGGCGTGATTGGAGCGGACTGTGAGACAGCCGCAAGGAGGATACGTGGTGGCCTGTCCAACATGTTGGTGGGCACAAACTTGCCATCTTGCATTGCCTTTCCGAAGTCGAACTGCACAACGCCGCCATGATTCGGTCCTGTATGGCTGACTACCACGTCCCCGAGCCGAATGTCACACTCAGCTCCTAGGACACCCACACCCACACCCACAAGCAGAACGAACTGCAAGTTTCTAAAGCTGGAAGCCATCTCGGTGGCCACGATGGCTGCGGATACGGTTCCGGTTCCGCCTCTTGGTAAGCATGTCATGACAACATTGTGTACGCCAATTCGACCCAACGTATAGGAGTTGTGATCATTGTGGTTCTGTGCAAGGACGGGGTGCCGCTCGTCTAAGAGAGCCTGACTGGCCGCCATCTCCATCGGCAGAGCACAGATCCATCCTACGGCGTAGCCTTCGTGCGCTAACGCGCTGCGTGTCTCCATGGAAGTTGATAAGGCTCATCTAAACTTAAGGATATACTGATGAATTAAAGACATGTTTAATCACATGTGCATATTCAGCTGAGACGCACGAGGTGCGGTTGATGCTACCCGCCATTTTACCTTGTTTATATCAGCTGGTGCGTGACATAAGCACATCCGGATTGATTGGAATAGGAATGGAAATGGCCATGGTTGACAGAGGGGGGGAAGGGACATGCAAAGGACAATAGGAGGCTACAACAAACGATATTCAATTCAAAAGCCTTCTTCCGCTAGCTTTCTCAATGGTTTCTTATGATCATTTGAGCATGTATAGGTTGAGAGCTCTGAACTACTCCATTCTATGCTACCTAAGAAGAGGAAAGTTCAACGTGTACTAAGAGTATCTATTACAAGATACTCATGGCTAAGTCTAAGAAGAACTACTGCATTTAGCAGCGCCAGTCTTAGGTCAGATTGTTCACTTGGTTGAGTTTTGATTTCCAAGTTTTTTTGGTTCAAATACAAACCTTTCAAATCTCGAGTTTAAATGTGTCGACTGCTAGCCCTTGCTCAAGTGCAGTATCAGGATGCCCCTTTCATTGCGTAACACCCCAATTCCCCTAATTGCTCAATCGTAGAAGTGCGACTATCAGTCCGATATCAGTCTACTCGCTGCATTTCTGACGAGAGTGCCTCAATCACAAGAACAGACGGGACCATTGTCTCGAAAGATCAGAGGGAGTCTCGTTGGGCAGAGTCATTCCGGGGCTTAACTTGAGAGTGAGTAATTATTGAATATTCTGCCGAGGGCACTATCCAAAGTAATAACCAGGTAGTAGAGCAGCCGACATGTTGTGCAGGAGGCATCCTAGCCGTCACCCCACAAGGACAGGGAGCGATGTCCAGCGAGGGGCCAGGCTTGGTAAGGGATCGGGATTCGCTATAGCCTAAAACTCATCTCTCTATGCTCTAGTCCGGCCTTCCAAAATGCCGGTATTAGCGTTCATTGGCAAGATTCATGGGCGCTTCCTGAACATATCCGTGAGCCTATCAGCGCCCGGTCCTGCCGTCAGAGTCAAGTCAGCCCCAGAAAACCTAAGGATTTCACAGAACACACGCAGGCTTCGGAGATGGCACTGAAGAATCGGCAATTTCTCCATCATGGCTGTGACGTTTCCAGATCAAGGCAGAACCTGGTTGTGTTCCGGCCGACACCCCGCAAAAAAGAGCACCATCCGGACACGGTCCGATCTACTACCCGATCCACCTCCGAACGGCTCCCACTCGCAACGGTTGATGTACTTCCATGGTCAAAACCGACCGGAATAATGTCAAGGAGAATTGTAGGGTCGTGCCTTTCCGCTATATGAGCTTTCAATGTCGAATCAGTCGAATAATGGTGATCCGGAGTTGCAGGCCAAAAATCAAAAGTGCCCGGAACCCTAGGCCAACAGCGGGGGAAGGATCAATGGCAGAGATGTCATTGAAAGCAGATGTCTGCATTTCTAATGTTTATATAATATTTCCCCGCCGGATATCATCACCCAGAATGACAAACTAATGCAACTCTATCATAGCCTGCTGCTGGCTAGCCAATAGCTGTCATTAATGCTTGACGTGTGGTGCCGACATCATCCATCATGAGCTCCACGTAGTACTGCCCCAAACAAGGGTTGCTTCCGTCGTCTTGAACAAGAACATGTTCATAAGTGGCAGCCACCGCTCAATCCGCTCGCCCTTCTCCTCTCTCAAATTAATTCTCACGGGTTCCTAAAAAACAAAACCATGGCTAAACCGGCTCTCACACCCAAGGATTTCCAAAACGCCTTCCACTGGGCTGCGACCCAGCAGAATGGCACCATCCCGAGCTTTGAAACACGATCCAATGACCCATACAAGTACCAGCCCGGAATCAACAACCACTTCGAGTCGGAAGCCGTGCCTGGAACGATCCCTAAGGGCCAGAACAGCCCAAGAGCCATCCGGTTTGGGCTTTACGCTGAGCAAATCACCGCGACGGCGTTCGTTGCGCCCCGCCACCTTAATAAGAAGGCATGGCTATATCGTGCCAGACCAGCTGTGGCCCACCAGGGATTTGTATGTGCCTTTTCGTCCTGCATTTTGCAGGACTATACTTATATTAGTTATTAAATGCTAATGATTGAGGGAAAGACCGATTTGGAGGACAACAAGGACACGGAATCAACATTCCTCCCCATCAACCCCCGTGTCCACATCTCCCCGACGCAGTTGGCGTGGAAACCTCACCCAGTCCCAGAAGGTGACGTCGACTTCGTCGACGGCCTGAAGACCGTGGCTGGCTCAGGCGACCCTACCCTTCGTGAAGGCCTAGCAACTCACATCTACCTCTGCAACAAGTCCATGTCCAACAAGGCCTTTGTCAACTCAGACGGCGACTTCCTCATCGTCCCCCAGCAGGGCGCCCTCGACATCCAGACCGAGTTCGGCTTCCTCTACGTCCAGCCAGGCGAGATCTGCGTCATCCAGCGCGGCCAGCGTTTCAAGGTCAAGGTAGACGGGCCAACCCGCGGCTACATCCTAGAGATCTGGGGTTCCAACTGGGAGCTCCCCGAACTCGGACCGCTGGGCGCCAACGGCCTGGCTAACCCTCGCGACTTCCTCCATCCCGTCGCGGCGTACCAGGTCACGCGGGACGATCCCTGGAGTATCACGTACAAGCTGGGCGGCAAGTTCTTCGCGAGCACGCAGAACCACAGCCCGTTTGACGTGATCGCCTGGCACGGGAACTACGTGCCCTTCAAGTACGACCTGACCAAGTTCGTCAATGTCGGCTCCATCTCCGTCGATCACATTGACCCTTCTATCTTCTGCGTCTTGACGGCCAAGTCTCGCGATCCGGCTGCTCCTCTCGCCGACTTCCTTATCTTCTCGCCTAGATGGGACGTCGCATCTCACACCTACCGACCTCCGTATTACCACCGCAACGCAGCATCGGAGCTCATGGGTCTGATCTACGGAGAGTACGGCGGCCGGTCCGACGAGTTCCAGCCGGGCAGCATCTCCTACGAATGCGGACACGTGCCGCACGGCGTGGCGTACGAGCAGTTCGCCGCGGCGTCCAAGGAGGATCCGCCGGCGATGCAAATTTCCCCGGGGTCGATCGCGTTCATGTTTGAGAGCTGCCGGCCATTCACCATCACAGACTGGGCGTGGAACTCCAAGGAGAAGCACGAGCACGACCCCAAGATGTGGGATGATTTGGTTGACAACTTTTCCAAGTTTCAGGTGGAGGTTGATGAGATTCTGGCCAAGGCTGGTAGGGCCTAGATTGATTGCGATGCTTGATTACCGGCTAGGTGGAAGGATGTATATCACCTGGTGTGAAGTAGTGAATATAATCAGGTCAAACTTATAACTTTGGTAACACCTTGGAAGTCCTCGACAGCAGATGACGGGCAATAAGCTTCTACAGACTCAGAATAAAGCGATTCTCAGAGGCTTGTGGATTAGAAATAGGTCACCACAAGAAGCCTTGCTATCTCCCTTCGTCCATTCTTTTTAGGTGGTGTGTTGTATGAGACCAAAAAGAAACCTCGTGGATCCCAAGGCAAAAATGTGGTTTCGCCCGGGCTCGAACCGGGGACCGTCTCGGCGCAATCGGATGATTGTTAGCGAGAAATCATGACCAACTAGACCACGAAACCAAGTGTTGTGATTGGTTGAGTGAGTGACCGTCAAAATAATCTATGAAGTGTACACATTTCGGAACTCAAATTTAGTGACCGACAAATTTCCAATTTCCACCCACCCTAAACCCTCAACATTTAAGAGGTAATTAACAGCACCGTGTCTACGCCAGACTAGAGCATAAATAGAAGGGATGTCCTAGCAGAATAGCAGAGAAGACTTCCTGGATCGCGCAGGTATGATCTTCACGCGTCTTCAGCACGAGGTTATATCGAATGCGAGTACATCTAATTCAAAACGACGCTTGGGGTATATGGAATTATCCTCCTGTCCAACCTCCTAAAGTATCCAAGCCTTGCCACCATAAAACGCCAAAGTAGCGATATCCCATGTTCCAATCCATGTTATTCTTTTGGTTTCCCCCCATACTTGTCGTACAATCGGTCTCGGTTGGTTTCCACCTCTGCCATGGCGAGGTACTTCTCAAACAGCTGCATGTTTGCCTCGGTCTTTGCCTTGTCGGAGCCTTTGCTCTGCGTAGAGTTGGATACTCCGGGTGCTGGTTGCTCGTCGGCGGTCTCGTTCTGCGCTCTTTGTGGCTCTGGATGCCGGGAGCTATCGAGGCTGTCGATGTCGGGAGGAGCGTCGTCGGTGGTTTGCAACGGCAATTGCGTCATGATCTTCGCTGGAGGCACTCGAAACAAGGGGAGACGGAGCTCAAGGCAGGGCTTGTGGTGTCGTAGATGCGTTGTTGGTGGTAGATCGTAGAGGACGAGATCAATTGATCAGAGCAAAGTTGAAGTAGGTGAGAGCCGGCAGAATGAGCAGCGATGACGAACCTCGCGCTTATGCCCAATTCCGGTATTCGCGGTCTCACATCATCGTCACGCCCCACGTTGAGCACAGGCAGGCAGCAATGAGTAAGTCTGGCAAAAGAAAAGCCTGTCGGCAGGCATCTCTGCTGCCGCATAAAGACATTTTGCATGAATAATGCTGGCCAGTGCCTCTGCTCTGTGCGTCATCGTGCCCACCGCCTGGTTTCTGCCAAGTTGCACAGTCCCATGCGAACCACCGCAAGGCAATGCGAGGCGGCCATCTCTTCATTTCCCTTCTATTATGACTCTCTGCGGGCCAGCCACTCGTCCATCATCCTGCTAACCGTGCGGTGCAGGTCCCAGTCCCTGCCGCGGATGTTCCTGAACTCGGCGATGCGGCAGATGGCCCAGTACTCATCTGGCACCCGACTCTCGAGATGCGCCGCGTTGGACCCAACAATCTCGACGAGCAGGTCGGAGAATACCTCGACGTCTTCGCACGCCCTCGCTCCCCGCAGCCGCCGCGACTCCGACACCACCCACCCGAGCACGACGAGGAATAGTAGCAAGGGGCGCACCGCCTCGACGACCACGAAGCCCGCCCTGCCCACGCCGTCGTCGTGCACCGCCGCCGCCATCTCGCGCTTGGCCTCGCGCAGGGCCGTCGTCACCGCCCGCAGGTGCCTAGCCATGAGGCCCAGCAGCGCGGGGAGGTCGCCCGCGCGGTCCCAGGGATCATGGACGATCTCCTTGCCGTACAGCGAGATGGCGAGGCGCATGGACGTCTCGACGCCCTTGAGCAGCGCGGCGGCCTCGGAGGCGGCCGTGACGGAGTCGGGCGAAGACGACGAAGACGAAGATGAAGAAGAGTCCGGGCTGGCGCTGTCGTCGCGCGCGGGGGCGCCGATGGGGGTCGGGTAGTTCTGGATGAGGTAGGCCATACTGTAGCGGTCCTCCATCATGGCGTCCGGGTGGAACTGGCCCGTGCCCGTCTCGCGGACGCGGAAGACGGCGACCATGAAGAGGGCGGCCGAGACGAAGATGTCGAGCATCTTCTCGTCGGTGCAGCACGGGAGGACCCAGCGGCGGAAGACGGCCGTGATCTCGCGCTTCTTGTCGTCGTCGACCATGTCCATGACCGACCGGTGCTGGCGGTTGGCGATGGGGAGGAGGGGGTCGAGGGCCTTTTCGGCAGAGCCTGTTATGTCCGCCCTGGGCGAGTCAGTTGAGTTGGTCATCTTCATATTGGTAGGCTCTGCTTGGTTGGATGCTTACTTGTATGCTATCCATTTCATCTCCGGGGTCAGGGAGTCTACCCCGCCCGTGCTCTGGATAAACTGCTGCAGCCCGTTCATGTGTATGTGCCATAGATCGTCCCGATCGCTCCAGTGCTACATCGCCCATGTTAAACTCCATTCCTGAAGCAACGCTAAGATATTTGAATGGCGCCGAGATCAACTTACAGCTAGCAAGGCCAGGGTGGATATGGCCTGGATCAGGACGTGCTTCCGATTATCCAGCGACGGCTGCTGCAGCAGCTCAACTATGTAGCGACACAACCTGGCGTAGTGATGCATGACCGGTATCGTCTCAATCCCCTGGCACGACGCCTCGTAGACGGCGCCGACGGAGATGGCGCACTTGAGGACCATCTCCTCGCTGAAGAGCTTCTCGTAGATTTCCCGGTTCCGCAACGGGTTGTACGTGAGGATGTGCCACGCCTCGAAGGGGTACGTCCTCCGCGGCAACACGTCGAGGTAGAAGCGCAGGGCGGCCTTGTCCTTTCCCGTCATGGTGAAGGGGACGTCGTGCATGATCCAGCCGCTGATGCATGGCGGCACCCCGGGGCTCTGTTCCTCCACCTTGATCTGTTTGGGCTGGACCTGTATGAGATGAGGCTGCTGCTGCTGCTGCTGCTGCTCTGGAGATGTGCTCTTCCGCCTCACAACGAGTCGCTCCGAGTGATCCGCGTCAACCTTTGCGCCGGGGGTCGCGCGCCTGGACTCGCTCTGCCTGCGCTTCTCGCTGGCCTTGGAGGCGGGTGCAGGCCGTGCATCCTGGAAGCGCACGCGGAAACGTGCCGCCTTACTCTCAACTCTCCCGCCCTTTGAAGATGGTGCGGCAGGGGAGGCCGCCGACGACGATGATGATGCCGCCCTGGAGGCTGTCGACGCGCCGCGCTGGATGACAGTGTTGACAAAGGCCGTGTCGCCCTGCTTCTGCTTCAGGACCTGTACATTGTTCCGCGTCCAGACGAGGGCTCCGTTGGTGAAGGCCCCATAAATGTACTCCTGGCCTTGGGGCTGCTGCTGCTGCTGGTCGTCACCGGGTGTTGATTTGTTCGCCATTGAGGCTGCCCGGCGGGGGCCTGGAATCTCCTATTTGCCTCACTGCGGCTGGTCCTGGCTGCTGGTTCCTGGACCCCCGAGTGTGTGGCCAGTGAGAGGGCGGGGGTACTTCAGTGGAATGGGGGCAGGGGGAGGTGAGAAGCGGGATGGTATGCTGATGATGCTGATGGTGATGGTGATGACGGGGTGGGATGGAGTGTTGAGGGTGCGTCGAGAGTGGAATGACAAATGCCCCGAGCGGGGGTTGATGGTTAGTTCGTTGGGTTGAGGGGCGCGGGGCTCAGTATTTATCACACAGTCCAGAAAGCAACTGGATGAATAAATCGAGGCGAGATGAGACGAGAGAGACTGATGCTGCTCTCGTGGGCTATCAATAGATTCGAGGGCGATGGCACGGATCTGCCGTCTCACCACCACACACACCAGCAGTGCACCACAACCTTGGCCTGGGGATAAACCAGACACACCAGGCTCAGGGCCGTCAGCACGAACCTCAATTCGGGGTACCTAGTCGAATAGGCAGTCTCCTCCGCCCCGCATGTCAGAACTTTCAATTCTTGGGTGAGGTGAGCTTATCGCCAAGCGGCCGACCGTGATGAGGCAGGTGGGCTGGCGACGAGAGATTCAGCCCTATTCTGAGAGCGAGGCAATTGACAATGAATACCAAAGAATGGGTGGTGATGATGTGGAGGAGGAGTGAGCGTTAGGCTGGGCTGCACAGTCAGTTCGGCACGAGGCCAGAACGGATTGATGAATGGAGACAACGGACGGACGGCTGCTATATCCCGATCCAGGGCTGTCGTCTGCCGCGACCGCGAGGAGGTGTGTGCTCCTGAATTCGCTGGGCTGGATCACGCACGTTTCCTGTTCGTTCCACTCGGTGGGTTGTGGCAGCAGTCAGGGGAATTAGACAGGTTAGTGAAGCAGACTACGGCTCGCCGGCAGCCGCTGCTATTTGATTGTTTCGCCTTTATTCGAACATGATCCGAGCGCTGCCCAGGTTTTCACCTCCCTGTTTCAGCCGGCGGAGGTGCCCCTTCACATTAACCCCGTCTGCTATCCTTCATCCACGTCTTCCGACTTGCGTACGACCAACTTGGAGGACAAGCCAGCAGTCTACAGCTCGTACAGGAACACTATAGAGGGCCAGCTACGCGTACATTGTATGCAGATATCCACCGCCAAGTGCCGCGATGGCGAAGAGTGGGGAGGAGGGTCCAGCTAATGTGCAGTCACTCTTTTCAGCCTGCTCGGCCGGTTGCCCCCACGCCCTTGAAATTAGACCTGTGACGATAAATCTTGTGAGGGTGAAGTGAGTGCACGTGAAGGCGCCAGTGAGCAAAGCTCAAGTCCAAGAACCAATTGTGGTTGTGCTCTTTGATCGATTGATGCTAGATGGGGAGCACATCTCCCATACCCCAGCATAAAACACATGGCCACAGGTGCCAGGAGTAAACTGCTGGGATAACTGTGCAACCATGATCAGTACCATCTGGCAGGGATGGTTCCTTGCGGCCAAAGCCGGTAAAATAAGAGGAGCCTGTGCTGTGCCTCAGCTGAGAATGCGCGTATTGGTGCGACTAATTAATGCAATGGCACAATCAATCTCCTATGAGTCTGGCCTAGTCCCGACAGCGTGGTCCCAGCCAAAAAGTTCAATGGCAAGAAATTCCATCCCATGTTTCTGCAGCAGCATTCAAGATTTGTCACCACGTGCAAGCAACGCAGTCAAGCGTTGACAATTGACCAACCTTCCTCATATATATATTTTTTCCTACTCTCAAACAGAAGCATTAGAAATTCTTATCATCGTACACTACATCCTAGCTCAGCTACTGCCACAATTGCCTGCCTCAATCCACCTGCTTAAGCCATAGGTGTGGCAGGATCTGAGGTATAGGGTAGTGCGTAGCTCTTCGTAGCAGCACAATGATCCATGCTTTTGGACGATCTCAACCACCAGGTAATCAAACCATCGTCTACCGCATCAAACTCAATGGCGGTATGGTCAGGCAAGATGCTCAATTATGCGAGAATGTTTCATGTAAACGGTCTATCTGCGCCTCTGGAAGGTTCCATGTAGGGCAATCTTTGGGCGCTGCGTATGTTGACGGCTGTTGACGGATGGTGACAGACGGATAGCTGCTGTAGCTCAGATAGGCCTCACTTCTACCTCACCTTATGCAATAGCAAGACACTTAGAGTCCCCTAACAATGGGAAGCCGATTTACCTCCCAATTTGACGTGTTCCTCTCCCCTCTCTTCCCGGTTGTTTTTCTCTCCTCCACAGACGCGATCTCAACCACAACATCGACAACCATCTCGTGAACACTTGCCGTGCTGCTCGCACCAAGCATCTGGCGTCGGAAACTCGCACATCTGATACAGGTCGGCTATCTCCCTCTTCCTACTTGTTGTTTTTTCCTCGTGCGCACGTTTGATTTTTTGGTCAGATGTCCTTGATCATCACTCTCAAAGGTAAGTGACCTTCTCGATTCTTCTTCAAGCCCAGCAAGAGAGACAAGACGAGTATTTCTTTCGGTATATTCCATAATATTCATTCCTTTCAGTGCGTCATCCTCTCGTTATTCCTCCACCGTCTGACGATCCGTGTCTGGAAAGCATCACAGTGCGGCCGGCACCTCATCGACCAGCTGAGAGTCCACCTACGATGGATACCGAGACCTCATCCGGTGGTGCAGCCTCGGCCGGAGATGCAACCTCTTCTTGCCCTGTCGCCTATCTCGGCGACCCAGTCTCTCCTGGTGACGCAGTCTTTCCCGGTGATAAGGCTAAGACTGAACCCCAAACCCCATCCAAACGCCCCCCTCATGTTCTCGTACCCGACGTCTTCCTCTACCTTCGAGCAATTTGCCGCAAATGGGACGTCAAGAATCTTCAAGAACTCTTCACCATCCCCCAGGGGGACCCATATTTTCATGACTACCTCCCTGAGAGGCTTCGTCCCACAAGTCTCACCCGCGAGTACTTGAAAAAGCTTCGCTACATTTCTGAACACTGCGACCGTGATGAGGCTCGCTTGAGAATCGCCTCTACCTCCATGAACCAGCCCGAGCATTTACACGGATTCGTTCGCCCGTGTGTTCTCGACTGGGTCATTGCCAGCTTGGTGAGCCCCTGTCCTTCCCTTTCATAGAAGTTTCACATTGTTTCCTCGTCTCTTCACTTTCACTTTCCCTTTCCTCTCTTCTTTCCCTCGTCATTCTTTTCTTTGCTGGACTTTACTTCTTTTTTTTTGTGCTTCTGCCTCCGCTCCCTCTCCCTCCTCCCCTGGAGAAGACGTCTCTCCTGATCCTTCCTCAGTCGTCCCCAATATATCACTCCGCGAGTGCCGGTTGTGGTCGATCCTAAACATGAAGGAGTTTCATCAGATGCCCCAGGAGGCCAACGGAAACAGGGAAAAGCTTGTTCCTGTTATGGAGGAGGTAGCTGATGTGATTTCTGCTACTTACATCATGGGAGACTTTCCCTCTCTTTCTCTGTTCTTTTCTATTATTATCTTTTTATCTCTGTTCTTCTCTAGTGTTATTTCAATCTCTTCTTTTCTTAATTATTGTTTCCATCTCTCTTCTTCTTTATTAATATCTTTTCATTTACTTTCTTCCCTCCTCTTTTCTTGCCTTCTTTCCCTTTTCTTTTCTTTCCAATGCGGTACTTCGTTTTCAGTTGAGCTAACAAGCACCAATGTAGAAAACAGATAAAGGTCTGGTCAATTCGGACCAGCAGCCCACGATGCCTGGCAAGAGAAAGACGCAGAAGAAGCAGAAGAAGAAGGAGATAAAGAAGAAGGAGGAGCAGAAGGAGAAGGAGCAGGAGCGGGAGATGGAGATGGAGAAGGAGAAGGAGATGGAACATGCCGCGGCACCTGGGCAGATCATCTGCCTTTCAGACTCCGCCAAGGAGTCGACTTCTCCATCTTCGGCTCCTGCTGGTGCCAACGTCGAGCCACCGTCCGAGATGGTAAGTCCTTAAGTTACCCAGTCAATACCCTCTGATTCACTTGCGTCTGGAAACTGACAGAGTATCTCTCAGAATCAGAACGTGGACCAGCAGCCTGAGCCCTACATCACCCCGGCCCAACAGCCTCGTGAGGGCATATGGAATATCCCCACGAACCAACAGCTTCCAGGCCAAACGTCTCAGGGCCAGATGCCTCCAATCCAGGTGCCTGCAGGATACCTGCCCCCAGGCTACCTGCCCGAAACCTACCTGCCTCCCGGCTTTGCTGCCTTCCACAACTCCAGGCACGTGTCTCCCAACCCACATCCAGACGCGCTGTTGACGGAACCCTTTGTGCACCGACCCATTCCGTATACACAACCTCCTCCATCTGGGACTGTACAGATCGCTCCTATGCCTAGAGCTCTTATGTCGACAGATCATGCGCCTGGAGCCCCTATGCCTGGAGCTCATTCGCAGGAAGTTTCTATGCCTGGAGTTTCTGTGCCTGGACCTTCTATGCGTAGAGCTCAAGTGCCTGGAGCTCCCATGTCTAGACAGGTCAACATTGTCCAAGCCGACGAGAGGGAGATTAAAGCCATGGAGGATGAAAAGGCCCGCCTCCTATCCTTGATCAACTTCAGAGAGGAGCGCATGCGCATCATCTCCCTGTACGGAGAGCGCATAGACGTCGACCCGCCGCCATCACTCGAGGACAAGGTCAAGGCCGCGTACGCAATGCTCAAGGCTCTAGACGCGCTCGTGCCGCCGCCGAACCTGAGGAGCATCATCACCACCAAGGAGGGCGCATGGGGCCAGGCGGTCATCCAGCCGCAGCTGAACAGGCTTCGCAAGTTTGTCGAGGACCCGGAACCGGACGAGAAGAACCCCTTTGACTCGCGCGTGAGCTTCCTCTCTGAGGCCCACATGAAGACGGAGATGGTCACGCAGCATTGCGAGACTGACCCTTTGCTGGCTGAGATGAGGAAACTTGTCCGGAAGGCTCGGATGGTCGGTTATCAGATGAGTATGTGATGGGGTTGTCTTTGGGGTGCTTGTCATGTGGTATGAAGCTTGACAAGGCGAAAGGATTACGGATGATGCACTTTTTGCGAATGGGAATGGATGTGCTATGAATGATGAACGGGAAAGGGAGTTGAGTGTGCTATTGATGATGATTTGCCGTCCGCATAGGAGTGATACGCCACAATGATGGTTTGGATGCAATGAGAGCTGATGAGCAATGAAGTGGACAACAAGGCAACTTGAAAACTGGGAGGCTTCATTTACGTTTTATGGAAACCAGGTCAACAGCACAGGTTATGATAGCTCAGATACGAGACATGAGAAAAATGATTGACGATTGCATCGCTAAAAGTTCTCCTGTGCCGGACGCATATCCAGCTCGTGCACCCACAGCGATGACGGCTGCCTCGACAGCCAGAGATACGTCTCCCCCACGTCCTCGCCCCTCATGCTGACACCCGTCTTCGTCTTCTCGCTGTCCTCGTCAGCGATGGGCCCGTTGGCGATGGCGTGGACGACGTGAACGCCGAACTTGCTATGCTCCTTGGCGATGGCCTGGGCGACCATGCGCACACTGGCACGCGAGGCCCCGTACGACGCATAGTTCTGGTTCGTGCGGAGGGCTCCCAGCGTCCCCGTGAAGATGATGGTGCCCTTGACGACGCCCGCGGTCTCGGCGAGGGGCGTCTGGCCGCCGTGCTGGGCGTACATGAGCTTGAGGGCCTCCTGGGCGAAGACGACGGCGCCGGTGGTGTAGGTCTGCATGGTCTCGTTGAAGGCCTCGGGCGTCTCCTCGAGGAAGGGCTTGCGGGCGGCATTGCGGACGTGATAGATGGCCAGGGTCAGCTTGAGGTCCTTGAAGGCGGGCTCTGCGGCGATCTGGGCAAAGGTGGCCTTGAGGCGGTCGGGGTTGGTATTGGTGGCAAAGGGCTGGAGGATGCCGCCGCTGGAGGATGTGCGCAGCTCAGAGGCGAGGGCATCGAGGGCGTCCTTGTTGCGGGCGAGGAGGGCGACGGCCATGTTGCCCTTCTGGGGGTCGGCGAGGACACGGGCGATGCCGGCGCCTGAGGTGCGGCCGGCGCCGATGATGATGGCAAGACCTTGGGGAGCCATTCTGGAGGAGATGGACGATGGCTTGGGATGAAGGTAGATGGCTGGATGGTGAAGCCGTGATGGTTTGTCAGAAGATGATCACGACGTTGCAATCAAAGTGCGGGGCTTTGTCGTCAACAGCCGTCAGCCTACGGAGCCTTTATAGTGGGCATCGAACTCTAGAACTTCCTACAAAATGTTTGTTATAATGGGAAGAATACTATTTGATAGATTGTATTATTTCAAAGCAAACGGGCCAGTGTCCAAATTTTGTTGGGTTCGTGTGATCTAGGCTAACTTCAATGTTCATCTACCGACGTTGCACCTAATAATTTACTAGAATTCAAATGATTCGTCGACTACATTGAGTTTTATCAAAGGTCTTGATGAGTTTTGGCGAAAACAATATCCTAATTTATTGTTAGCTTCAGGCTGGAGCTATATGGTATGTTTGGAGAGGAGGTAAGATGAGGTTGTAGAGGAAGGAGAAAATGGACCCTACCTTGGTTATAGGTAGAGTTTTATCTTTATGAATACACGAGTTGAAGAAAGATACTATCCAACATAAGCTTGCCATCATACTTGGACCCTATCTTCAACTTAACACTTTGCTGTTTAGGAAGTGCCTCACATATCATCCACTCGCACAAACCACCTCCCCTAACTTCTACAGTCTCAAACTGAATTGCAATCCTACAGAGACTTTTCGGTCTGTAAAAGCTCATCGGGCTTCTCATCGGACAGAGACTTTGCATTGCCCCGGCGCCAGATCCTCAGGGCGCACACCAGCAGCATCGCCGCAATGGCGACCTGCATGCTGACCATTGACAGCACCAGCAGTGCGCGCGCGTTGAAAACAACAGCGCCTAGTTCAAGAGGGATCTGAGCTGTCACGCAAATGTATATCACGATGATCGCATAGCGTATCACTGATAGTTTGGGAGTGGTAAGACCCGATGAGAAAACGGTGCGGAAAGTCGCGATATTATCCCTGATCGCGGCTGCGCGAGCAAGCATCCAGACGACGTACAGACCAGTCCTCAGGAAGCCCGGATTGCACATGGGACCTATATCGGAAGGGATGGCAAGGATTCCCAGGGAATGTATCATGTGCGGCACCAAGAACATCATGTTGGCGCTGTTGTTTCGCCGTCCAACGTCGTCGTCCCCACTCGAGTTGGTCCTGGCATCAGCGCCGAGGTCCTCGACGAGATAGAAAGACAAGAAACGTAGAAGAGCCGTAGACGCGACAAATCCTGTAAATGAGGATTTGCTGGCGACGCAAAGGGGACCCAGCTCCTTGGCGTCTGAATTAGGTGAGCGATTATCTCATGTAGCCAACTGGGAAATAACCTACTCCTGGCGAGATCGTACGGGTAGACGGTAGGATAGAAACAAGCTACTATCAGGTAAACCCATTGAAGAAGATGGTGGAAGATCCAATCGATAATATTGGAGTAGCTAGGTCTCAGGCAAGATACCACAGCAGTCAATAGACTCCCCACTGCGAGACAGCCCGCGGTCGCAGAAAAGATTCCCAGAGGCCCATCATGAGGGGGAAACATATTGTCGTAAAAATGAGCTGGCGAGAACATGATCAAGCTGCTGGCGTTGTTTTCTCGGGGTGGAAACTTGATGGGGGTTGTCTTTATTATTAGTAGAGGCTGTATTCAGAAAAAGTGAGAAATGCGAGACAGGAGTCGGATGTTTTTTTTTATCAGGATTCAGGGCCGTGGCTGGCCGCAATCTTACGCCGCACAGTGGAGCATCAGTAAGGCAAATTCTAGGCAGCTTTCGGTTGGCCCAGCATCTCTTGTTTAATGTTCTCATTGGCTGTATCTTACCTAACTGTTGGTTGGCATTGTATATGTACTTACTTATTCAGGCCGGTATTTGCTAAGTAGGTAGAGTGGGAATTGGGGGCGCAGTCAGCGCATTGAGTAACGTCCATGCAATTGATCCCTTTCTTCAAGTCTCAACTCGACTAACTGTGCTAATTATAGCTGGCAACTAAAATTTCTTCGTGACGGCATTTTCAGACAACCAATATAACCGTAATAGCTTCCACGCAACAACGATCAGGACTCGTCAAGCTTGACGCCCACACCCTGGCTGATGACAACATCATACTTCTGCTTGCTCCTCTTGACCGGGCTGGGATCGTTGAATATCTCCTCAATCTCTTCAAGCGATCTGCCTTTGGTTTCCACCGTGACGAAGTACATCAAGATCCAATGGACGGCGTGAAGAACCAAAAAGATAGTATATGTCTTCCAGCCAATGTTGCCAAGGGCAATCGGCGTCGCATACATGTTGATAAAACCGGAGAGGCCACCCAGGAAATTCTTACAGGCAATACCTTTGGCTCGGATATCGTTGTTCAAGATCTCGGCTGGGTACAGGGCCTGGAGGGGAGTCCAGGAGAACGAGCTGACGATGCCGTACAGGTAAATCATGGCGATGAAGGCGTAACCAGCCCCAGTCTCGATCTTGGCACCAGCCTTTGCCGCTATCACATTGATGGGGATGTACACGAGACCAGTGACGAAAACTCCCCAGAGAAGCAACGGACGACGTCCCAGTCTGTCGACAAAGAACGCACCAGCTATACCTCCACAGAAGGAGAAGATACTGTTCAGGGCGTTAAGCAGGAGTTGCTGCCTTGCGGATTTGATACCGACGGCGTCAATCATTGTTGGCAAGTAGTACGATATGACCGACCCTCCTGTGAACTGATTGAAGACTGCGACCATAAGGATAATCCACATTCGATAGCGGGCTGGCCGGCTGTTGAAGAGCACGCGGTAGTCCCACCACCTGCTCTGGCCCTGTTCCGATTCGCGCTCGATACCTAAAGATTGCTGCATTTCCTCAAGCTCTAGTCTTGCGACTGCCGAGTCTGGATCGCCTTCGCCGTGATATTTGACAAGAATGTCGCGGGCTTCATCTTCCCTTCGCTTGGCACAGAGCCATCTAGGACTTTCTGGAAGCAGCCAGACCGTGCAGGCAACGATGGCAGCTGGTACAGCCTGGATGATGAGCGGGATGCGCCAAGACCACTGGTTTGGCATCAATCCTGTTCCATAGCACGTCCAAGTTGCGGCTGTAGTATTTGGTCAGCTCCATGGCCTTGCCTATAAAGTCAAACAGAGTGATTGGAGACCTACTAATAGCTCCAAGATACCAGCCAAAAACATTGTATGCACCGCCTGCAAGACCTCTCCATGTCGGGTAGGCCATTTCGACAAGATAGGTTGGTGCAGCGGTAACACAAATTGGAACACCGAATCCAACCAAATACCGGCCACCGATGAATTGGTTGAGATTTTGGTTGGCAGTTGTCGCCTGCACTACTGAACCGATGATGATGAAGCATGCTCCGATGAACATGGCTACTTTGCGGCCAAAATTATCGAGAATCAGACCGGCAAAGAATGAACCAGAGACTTGCCCAACCGGGTAGATGGCAGTTACGAGGCCAATTCCCGATCCTGTTTTGCCGATGCCGAAGTAATTGTGCCACGTATCCATGGCGTTGATACTGCCCATCACGCTTCCGTCGTAACCGTTCATGATACAGTCTGGTTGCCCACGTTAGTGACTTAAATGGTTGAATAAAAATGATCAATCCAAACGTACTGAGGGTGCAGAAAACCATGATCCCGTAGAGCTTAAACTGGGCGGCCGTGGTGTACTTTGGCGAGTCTTTAGCCACCGCGTCGGCAAGGGCGACAGACTCAACCTTGCGGTGGGCGACCTCATGGTCGTCATTGCGCTTCCGTTCACGAGCAGAGGCAGTTTCGTTACCCATTCTTGCAGTTAAGCACGAAAATTGCTTGGTAGGTGCAAGAGTTCATGGGGGCTGTTGTTGGTCTATATAAGCGAGCTCATGGCCATAATTTTTCCGGCCAAGAGGCCTCGAGAATGATATTGAGCAGGGTTCCCCACACCTTCAGAGCAGAAGGAGATACATAATACCGGTAGGCAAGACTGGTAAGAGAGCTAAAGCTCGAGGCAAGATCTAGCCGTTTTCAAGTAACTGCTGCCATTCATTGAAGGCCCAAGGTTGTTTGAGCATCATTGAAGCAAGCCTCACACCATCAGCTATCATAGAGCATTCGATCCCAGGTTTCCTTTATGAATATTCTCCAACGTTGCAGCAAAACCACCCTGGTGTCTGTACGTGAGCCACAGGGGTGGCGAGATGTTCTCGGCTAAATGCAAAATCACACAACCCAGAAACACCCCTTCCCAACAAAATCCACGCTGATTGAGGCTTCCAAGGATTCGGTTCTTACCCCGCACACTAGCAGTCAGTTGGGACAGCTAGGTATGATCATGGGGTGTTCCTTGGCGTGGAGGGTAATGTTACCCTCTCGGCGAGTTGTGGCACCGAGAATTCGGCTTATTTTTCTTTGACTGTAAACTTGACCAACTGTATTGGTCATTCTGAGCATGTGACTCCAATTGGTTTTATTCTCCTAATATATTCCTTGAATTGGATGTCGACGGAGCTTTCATTGCATGCTATAAATGTTTGTTTTAGCCCCGCGAAATGAGGTTCTGCAAAGCGGCTAACACAAAACATGGCACTCCAAAGCTCTGTTCATGCAAGTCAAGGACATCATTTTCTGCATAATAATACTAAACGTAATAATGAGTCAATTATAGCTTGTTCTAAAATATTGGGCTCCATATTGTGTTAATACTTCTTGGTTGTTTTGTGTTGAAACTCAATGATGAAGGTTCTGGGTGTGCTATATTTACCGTCAGTCGCTTGTTGCCTGTCACCCCTGGCAGCTTTGTTGTTAAACTTTATCCTCTTTCTCTTACACGTTGCCTGTCACTTCAGTCTAGGACCGAGTAATCAATCACAGATCGCCTCCATTTCTTCCGGATCTTTGTTACCTCTCCCCCAACTCTCTTTCCTTTTCATCAAGATCATCTGGTTTGACATTTCTATCTGGCATATCTCACTCGCCATGGGCAAATCCCAAGGTGTTACGTATTTCGCTAGTCCCTGCCAGCTTGAGTGATTCTGTACCCTTCCCTGGTCGGTTTGCATCGGGTCGTGACGCCGATGCAATCATTGACGCCGCCTACGCTGGAGCCAAGCCTACAGCCGCTCAGCCCCAATAACTTACAGTCGCTCATCCTCGACAATCTGCTACCGCTACTCAGCAGCCGGCAGCCGCTCCTCGACATTCTATCAACAATACTCAACAATATGCCGCCGCTCCTCAACAGCCCTTGGCTTCGCAACCTGCGACAGGCGCACTCGTCGCTCCCACAGCTGTTCGCCCTCAACCCACGCAAATTGATATGCTCTTGGCATCTGTCGAACAGCAAGACGGTTTTAAGCGTGAAAGCATCATTGGAGGTGACTCGAATTTCCATGCCCCAAACAGGAGATTGTCCCGAAGAAAGACGATTTGATTCATACGAGGGTCACCCTTCCCAAACATCACCAAACAACTTTCAACGTTTCACACTTCGATATTCATCTCTTGACTCCCACACTCTACACACACTTCATTTCACCCAACCGATTTTTTCAACACTTCTGGTGCGCCTGTGCCGATTCGAGCTGCATACCTGCGCACTTGCCAGCATGCAAATCCTCTGCAGTCTAATCAGGGAGACTTGGGTTCGAGGCGGGCGTAGTGCTGAGGGTCAAATTCGAGGAAGGTTCCATATGATCATGGCGGCCATTCCGGGAAACTCTGCGCTCTGAGACGCGCCAGTTTCCAAGTTTGACACCGGCAGATGGGATATTTCTGAAAATTTACCTCGATGAATGGAAGTTCAGGCATGAGTCCATGGTTATACTACCATTGACAAGGCCGCCTTATCAGTTGCTGATGCTTTTTGACCAAGTGAGCGCTATTACACCACCGGGAAGGATTTATTTGCTCTTCATGCTTCGGACCCCCGAGCCCAAGGTGGATGGCTGTCTTCTGCGCTGGTTGATATAGATGTGTTCGCAGCCAATGGCGTTGTGTTATGAAGCCTTTTCTCTGTATTTTTCTCACTCTTATAACTACGACCGACGTCATCAGATCACATAGAGGTCCTTATTCTCCAGATTCCCTTGCGAAAAGCTGAATGGACAAGAATTTTGACTTCTCTAGACAAGGATTGTGGAGTTGCCATGAGTCATAGCAGAGTTGCAGCCTAAAATCCACCAGGGGCACAATGCTGTCAGCAAAAAGGCGTAATCCAGGTGGCGGTCAGCTTCATAATATCAGCTCAGTCAAGCTACTCTGCTCGTGGGAATATACGCACCCGACAAAGGCGAGATCAAGCTGCGATTTAGTCATGACAGATCAAAATGCAAATGCCGCCCCTTCAGGGTCCTCCCAATCGCCGTGCATCACCGATCTCATCTCGTCCTACGCAATTCTACCAACCTTGGCTTCATGGCTATCTTCGGTCGATCTCTATCACCTTGGCCTTACGAACCGCTACCACCACTCATGTATTCTAGCATCGCCTATTCTGTTCAAGAAACTACAACGGCTATCTCTCTGTGACGGCCGCGGCCTTGCTCTCCGCCAGGAGTTCAAGCCCCCATATCGCAATGACTGGGAGAACGCGGGGAAGTGGACTATCAACCCGGGATTTACTGCCGACGAGGAGATTGAGGTTTCTCTGTACAATGTCAAATGCGATGAAGCTGGGGCCCTGCCCTGCATCAAGTGCGGCATCAATATCTGCGAAGAGTGCCGATTTTACCCTCGGGCGGCGCCGCCCCCGTGGTATCCAAGGCGGCGTCCACATTTGAATTCTCCTCACCAGGCTGAGAATATCATGTGCCTATGTCCCGGATGTGATGCCGATATGGAGAAGGAGCTTTCTGGGAAGTTCCTCAATGAACTCTGTGACTGCGACATTTACATTCGTTGGATCTGTACCCGGTGCATTGTGGAGGAGAGGAAATTTACGTGGGACTACTTTGAGGAACACACCGTGCTTGAAGGTGACGAGGAAGAAACCAAGTCGGTGTGGGATCATCAATTTTCTCGCTGTGCAAGTTTATACTCAACTTCCCATTCCGGATTCTCCGCAGTTCTGCTATCGAGCCCTTGCTAACAGCAATCGATATTCTAGTTTTGGTGTCTATGCGGTTCCGCAGTGCCTGCAGATACCCGAATAAGGTGCACTTGGTGCAAAAGACGCCATCTTCCAGAGAATCAATGGTTGAGAGAGTACGAAGAGGTCGGATCTAAACTACCATTTTTCGATAATGTAGGTGCACTCATGTGAACTTGCCTTTTGCAATCGAGCTAATTAACGTTTCTAGAACCCAGATTATCCTCGCTGGACAGAAGATGAGGATCGAAAATACGTAACCCCTTATCCGAAACTTGGGTATCATCGACCAGGAGACGATGTGCCAACGAGCTAGAGGAACGCCTGTATAGCTCAAAGACACTGGAGGAACGAAGAAATGATTAAAGGGCGGAACATTGAGGGTAATCGTGCGCTACGCTATATATACACTACTATGCTACACTCGTCAGGCCATGACATCTCCCTATAGCTTAGCAATCATTCCATGGGTCTTCTTTATCCAAGCAGTCGCATCAGTGACAAACTCATCAACAACAGCCTTGGCAGGCTTCAACTCATTGACAACAGCAGCACACTTGCCCATCAGGAGCTTGTCATACTTCTCAAGCTCGTCAAGCCTAGCCTCGTCATCCTTGACACTAGCAACGTCCACATCCGCGTCGTAAGGGATGACTCCCTTGGCCAGGAGCGCTTGCTGCTCCTGCTTGCGCTCATTCTCCCACGCCTCCAGATAGGGGTTACTCCTCACCCGCATAGGGCGGCCACTGTAGACAAGGGTCCGGATATTGTCGTCGTGACCAGCAGTACGGACAACTTCCTTGTGGTGGTCTGTGGCCCCGGCCTCCTCGGTAAGAATAAACCTTGTGCCCACCCACACGCCACTGGCTCCCATGTTGAGGGCCGCTGCCAACAGCTGGCCATTGTGAATACCACCGGCGGCAACAACCTGCACGGGCTGCCCTGTGAGAGGAGACTTGTGACCCTTGCAAGCTTCTACGGCAGCTGGGATGAGGACTGTAGTTGGGGTGTCACCAGTGTGACCTCCTCCCTCGCCACCTTGAGCACAGATGATGTCCACACCGAGGGCGAGGCACTTTTTGATATGCTTGACGTGGCCGACCATGTTCATGTAGACGATGCCATTGGCGTGTAGCTTATCAACCACAGCCTTGGGAGGCACACCAACAGCGGACACGAAGAGCTTGGCTCCCGAGTCGATAATGGCGTCAATAAGCTCATTGAGCTTTCCTTTTGTGTAGTCGTAACTAAGATCTACCAGTCAGCATTCCATTGCTATCCATTTTTCAAAGGTCGCAATCCGTTACGCACTTGGTCTTCCTCGCGTTTCCTCCGATTTGGGGCAGGAGGAGATCGATACCAAAGGGAGCATTCTTGTCAATAAGATAACCTTTCAGTTCGGCGATTTGCTCGCGAAGCATGTCAGGTGTGTATCCAAGACCGCCGATGACGCCCAGGCCTCCGGCATTGGAGACAGCGGCTGCTAGACGGGGGCCAGCGGCGACGTTCATGCCTGCCAACAGCACGGGGTGGTTGATCTTGAAAAGATCTGTGAGGGGAGTCCGGATCTGCTCTGTAGAGCGAACATAAGGGAGAATGGTCAGTAATCAAGCCCTCGTCATCTGGTAGGTCATTGCTGGAACACGGAGAGCTACGTACGAGGGGAAGCCATGATGTCTAGAGGCTGGGCGATCCTAGTAGAGATGGGTATATCGCGGCGATGGTTTGAGATGGGGATTCTCTATGCAACAGCAAAGGTTTGAGGTGTTGTGTCCTGATCGACGGAAGCTTTATTGTGCCCCATGGGGTTGGTCAGTCAAAAAGCGGGTGGCTGAGTTAGTCCTTTGCCGGCCAGATGCCTCGGCACGGCGAGTTAATTGTGGGGCGTCCATTTTTGCCGACTCGCCGACTACGCCGATTACTCACCAAGCAGAGGATGATGATATATATGTTGTTGTAGATAATATCATTGATTCGATTCTTTACTGCCAGTCTGAAGCATCTGAAAGACACAGTAGAGCCAAGCTCTGGTATTCTCTTGTTCTGACCATAAGCTTCTCCTACCATGTGATCAAATTTGTGGTCCATACTTGTCGCTCGCCATGAGTATAAGAAATTTGGACTTTTTGGAAATACAAGTCGCTAGAATTCACTTCTAGTAACTGCAAGTGGAAGATAACAACTCCCGAGGCAAGAAATCCAAGTGGGGTTCAAAAGCCTGCCTGTAATGCTCCTCATACAAGTATTTCGATACCAAGGAGATATCGCCTCAATGTCTTCGTTATTTCAATAGTCATGACTGTTGAGAAGAACAATGCAAAGTAACAATCATGGGAAAGATTCCATAATGCAATCGTCTCCTAGAATGGGGTTTCAGCTCAGAATCTTGTTGTTGCCTCTCTTGTAAAGTTTCATCGAGGGACAGAATGAGCGCTTAGAAATTATCAGGGCTTCGAGGACCATGGAAGGAGAAAGGAAGAGGTTGTCTTCCAATAAGGCGTACCGAGACAAAGTGAAAGGAAGTATGTTAGTAGATGGAGAATAGGCTGATAAGTATGCACGAGCCCATGCTAAGATTTTAGTGGGTGCAAACCACCGGTAGTGCTTCAAATATGTTCTCACCGCAAAAAGTCTGCACGTTTGCCTGATCAAGAGACCCAAAGATATGAATCCTTCTCAAAAGGCCCACTATGAGGAGAGGCCAGCGGCCGACGGGGGGAAGTGGTTGTCAGGGTTCAGATAGACTACAGACGTTGAAGATCTTTTCTCAACTTGTCTCCTCTTCCGCCTGTCTATATCTGGACACCGTGGCGATATGTTACGAGTTACGGCTTTCCACTTCAACAAGTAAGAAAAACTTGGTGTTACTGCTCTGTCGAATGGCCATCAAACATCTAGGTCTTAGGCTTGAGGATGTGGCAATTTAATTAGAACTAAAAGCAGCCTGTTTGAGTTATGAACCGCCTTCCAATCCATTGTCCAAGTTTGATACCTACCCTATGACCATATAGTTGATCCGACGGTTGCGCTGGAATAAACCAGTGGAAGAGGGTGGATGTCCTTTCCAGTCACCTCTTCTCAATCTAGGAATAACCTTAATTGGAAATCATCCTATCGTCTAAATTGGAAGGAGATACAATTGGGAAAATGAGAAAAGGAAAGAATTCGGAGCCCGACCCGGGGTTATCAACAGAATACCAGAGAACACAACTGCTGGACCAAAGGCGACAAAAGTCCGTGGGTCTCCGTACATTCCATTACACGCCTAATATGTGTACGATTTGCCTTCAGCGTGATCAGGTAAGGGAACACCGAGGCTGGACAGAGCAAAGCTATGGCAACTGAGTCAGGGCCTTCCCTTTGGGGGATCGGGCGAGTCCACCACCAGCGCGGACTTGGATGGGGCACCAGCAAGGGTCATTCTCCATCACGTCAGTCACAAAAGCCCCGTATTCAAAACAAAGGTCCTCAATCATCACATGTTTCCACAATCGAATGTCACTGGGCAGCAGGAGATGCGACGAGACAGGCTCGATACCCTGTGGCAAGGCTGAGGGGATCAGCTCCCTCCCGCAGTGAGACCACACCGACTATTATATGGATTCAAGGGATACAATTATTATTACATACTTCAATGCGACGGCAAATGGGGAAAATGACCCTGAGATGCGAAATTCTGCGAATAGCACCCCGCCATTGCCTCGCGTGGGTCTCTGGCTGATCGACATCGCCTTCTCGAAAATAACATGCTCTTGAAATCCGTGATTCATCTGTAAGCGGAGTCTTCATCTTCCCATGAGACGATGATCACACTGTTGATTAGGAAGGAGTCACAACTGTCATTGGCCTAACCTTATGGATATAGTCTGTATGCGCAGAACCTTTGAATTGAACAACAGCTGTCTATTTTGGTTGCCCTTTTGCGCGGAGCACCCATCTTCAATTGAGACCAGCCCTGAAGCACAACAATTTCACTGTCTGTGACGAATCCTGGGGGTTGCATTTCCCGTGCTAACTACCTGCTCTCGGCACTTCTTTTCTTAGCTACCCAAACGACTTGCTTGGCTAGCTGTGGTTGGTCATGCTGCATTTGAGTGGCAGCCATACACAGCCCTGGGTTGGGGTTCCACTGGAGGAGCGCGTTGTTTAGCGGAGCGCTTCATCGTGAAGGAAGCGTGTGTGACAAGGATTGTGGCGGCTCCCATCTTTTAAAGAAACAGTGACAGTCGATCCATCTCTTGGGTCAGCAGCTAGGCCCGATCAGTCGATTCTTCCAGATAGCAAAAGCCCCCAGCTGCCGTTTCAAGGCTAAAGGAAGGCAGTCAGCCGTCCGGCCAGCTTGCTCGTGAAGGCCCAGGTAAGTTGGCGACGTAATTGCTCTGAAACGCAACTGTCGAGCTGAGTGGCATTAAGGCTGTGGAGTAGGGGGGCCGTATTCCCTTCGTAATCTCCAACAAAGCCTCATCCGCTAGCGTGAATGCAGAACAACGAAACACCAAGCATCGTCAAATACTACATTTAACCGTTCTTCATTGCTATGATCAGTTCAGATACAAAAAGTGGCTTTCCGGGCGATCAATTCCCCAGAACATCAGCCGAGCGCAACTGCTCAGCCAGCGCGCGGCTGAATGGTTTCAGGGGTTGAGGCAATGCTCGGGCGGTTTCAGCGAGGCCACACAGGTTCCGTTAATGCCCAGGTACTGGCCTAATTTAACATTGTAAGAGATCGACACTGACACCACTCCACCAACATCCACCCCAGCGCATACTCCTTGGCTAGCTCCATCTGGAAGGCGGCTATAGCGACATTCAGAGCTCGGAAACGTCTCAGACTAAACTAGGACGACGACGACGATCAATCGTGAATCCGATGCTCGACAGGAAGCGTTTCGAATTGTATATAAGCCTATTACATTCTCCCCCTTCAACATCGTACTCAGCACCTCCTCAACCAGCTTCAGCAAGACGAGCTCCAGCACGACACTTATTCATTCTCTTACAAGACTCCCAATCAACGATTCTTCGTTCAGCCAACCGTCAAGATGGCTCCTAAGATGTCTCTCGTCGCTGCCGCTCTGGCCCTTCCCGCCGTCTCCATGGCCGCTGCTCTCCCCTCCGACGCCACCGTCCAGGTAGTGGGTGGTACTCCTGCCGCCGCTGGCGACTTCCCCTTCATCGTCAGCTTGTCTGAAAGCGGCTCCCACTTCTGTGGTGGTGTCTTGATTGATGCCAACACCGTCCTCACTGCTGCTCACTGCTCTGTTGACCAATCGGCTTCTTCTGTCAAGGTCCGAGCCGGATCTCTTGTAAGTTGCTCTTTGCGCCTGTGAGTAATGGGATCCGAGACTAACATCTGTGACAGAAATGGGCTTCTGGTGGCACTCAGGTTGGAGTTTCCAAGATCACCGTCCACCCCGATTACGACGCCTCAGTCGTCGACAACGACGTCGCTGTCTGGAAGCTGTCTTCCCCTATCCAGTCCGGCGGCAACATCGCCTATGCCACTCTCCCCTCGTCCGGCTCTGACCCTGAGGCTGGTTCCACCGTCACCGTTGCTGGTTGGTAAGTAATTCCTAACACTTTACAAATTTAAGTCGAGTTGATAGACTAACACACTTCTTAATAGGGGTCTTACCTCCGAGAACGGCTCGACCCTCCCTGCTAGCCTGCTGAAGGTCTCTGTCCCCGTTGTCTCCCGCTCTACCTGCCGCTCTCAGTACGGCGCCTCAGCCATTACTGACAACATGTTCTGCGCTGGTGTCGAGGAGGGTGGCAAGGACTCTTGCTCTGGTGACAGCGGTGGCCCCATCGTCGATGAGTCCAAGACCCTCGTTGGTCTCGTCTCCTGGGGCCAGGGTTGCGCTCAGGCCGGCTACTCCGGTGTCTACGCCAGACTCGGCGCCCTGTTGACCTGGGTCAACGCCAACATCTAAGCACGACAGCTCACGAACAATATCCCAACGTATATATCACCAGGGATCATGACATGTATATAAATGCCTTTTTAGCCCATGGAAATAGAAGAAATACAAAGTGATCAACAAATCAAAGGGACACGTGAAACAAGTACATATGAAATATGGCAGCTCTCATCCAAAAGCAAAGTAGTTGCTCATATTCTATATGAAAGAACTAACGTTGCAGTGACTGGTAACCCAATCAGCTGTCAGAGATCATTGGAAGGTTGCAGTACTCGATCAGGACGGTGTATATATAGCCAGAATCCAACGCCATTAATGCCAAGAAACCTCTGGTATTTGCACGGATGAGTTTTATCAAGCCCATCTTCGTGAACCCACCTTCAATATTTGACAGGAACAAGACAGGGGAGTGGAAAGATGGACGTTGAGATTTTGATTAAGACCGTATCTTCTAAGTTCCGTGAGACTCATTAACAATTCAAGGTCGCACGGGAGATGACCAATCCAATGAAAACACAAACTCAAGGTAAATTGACTTAATTCATTAAGCTTGTTTTTAGATGTGGCTCTATAAAATACTCTCCACTCGTTCCCTCAAGTCTAATGGGAACAAGGTTTTACTTCGTCGCCATTCTACGATTACCTTTGAAGATCTGACAATCACAGCGCCGATCGGAAGTGGATTACATGCAGAGTCAAGATAAGACTCAACAAGGTTGGAACTTGGACACACGCCAAGTTCCGATTGTTT